ATTAGGAAACCAGCACTTTGTCCTAGGGTTAAAAATGGTCAAGTATTTTTATATTCCTGAATTTGGAACATTTCATACTGAGCAGAGGACCTTTACTAGCCAGCCATGTTCATCAACATCAGGGGACAGGCTTCTTTCCTTAAAGATGAGTGTTAAAGAGCACCTCAGGCTCTTATTGACAAAAACTCTTAAAAAACCAACAGGAAAAACTCAAATGCCTAGCCAGCTATTCCATCTAAATTGGTAAATATTCCCAGAAGTGACCCTTATTGGCCCATAGCTAAACCTCAGGGAGGTAAAATAATTAAGAAAATAAAAAATACTGCTCTTTAACACTGAAAAGGCAAAAGTTAAGTCTAATGATGTATGCTTGACAACAGCATTTAGAATTCACTTATACAGAAACTGTCTGATTCTAAAACTGATTGATAGCACTTACTTCCAGACCAATCTGAAAAATCTGTACAAAAACTATGGAGTATCTTCATTATCTTAACTGCCATTTCAACAGGGAAAGTCAAATCAAAATTCCAATTACAATACCAGGTCTCATGCTGACTCTAAGAAGGTGGGAGGAACTAGGTAGTTACTGTTGGGTTCTCAGGGGTATATTAAGTCCCGAGCTAGTAGAACCATGCAGTATCTCCTTCCTCAGTTCTGACGACTGCCTCTTGGTTCAAGTACAGGTTGCACATAAATACAAACAAATGTTCTGGGATTCCCATTCATCTCAGAGTCAGCCATAGCTTGTTGTGATCCACACAGTCAAAAGCCTTTGCATAGTCAATGAAACACAGATAGACATTCCTCTTGTACTCTCTGCTTTCTGCCAAGATCCATCTAACATTAGCTATAATATTCCTAGTACCATGGCCTCTCCTAAACCCAGCCTGCATATCTGGCAGTTCTGTTTTGAAGTCTTGTGCCAGTTGGTTTTTTTTTATAATTTTCAGCAGAATCTTGCCTGTATGTGTTATTAATGATAGATATTGTTCAATAATTTCCAGTCTGTTAGGTCACCTTTCTTTGGAATGGGAACAAATCCTGATCTCTTCCAGTCAGCTGGCCAGGTGGCTGTTCTCCAGAATTCTTGGCACAACTTAGTGAGCACATCCAGGGCAACGTCTGTTTGTTGAAATAGGTCAGTTGGTATGTCATCAACTCCTGGAGCCTTGATTTTTGCCAATTCTTTCAGAGCAACTTGAACTTCCTCCTGCATCACCACAGGCTCTTGCTGAAACGTTGTTTAATGAAATTCTTCTGTGTCAGCCAATTCCTTCTGGTACAGCCACTCTGTACACTCGTTCCATCTTCCTTAAATGCTTCATCTGGATCATTTAACATTCTGCCCAAAGCATCCTTAAGTATTGCCACTGGTAGTGTGAATTTGTTTATCAATTCCTGCAGCTTAAGAAATGCCCTTTTGTTTTTCTGACTCCAGCTTTTTACACATTTCATTATAGTATCTTACTTTGTCATCCCGAGCTGCCCTTTGAAATTTTCTGTTCAGCTTTTTAATTTCTTGATTTCTTCCTTTACACTTGAATCAAGAGGTCATTGTCAAAAAAAAAAAAAAAGAGGTCACTGTCAAAACAGAGGAAGGAGACATTGCATGGTTAAAAATCAAGAAGGGTATCTGCCAGGGATGTATTCTGTCTCCATACCTTTTCAATCTGTATGCAGAACAGATCATTTGGGATGCTGGGCTGTATGAGGAGGAATGTGGCATCAGGATTGGAGGAAGATTCATCAACAACCTGTATTATGCAGATGACACAACCCTCCTTGCGGAAACTGAGGAAGATCTGAAGCGCTTGCTGCAGGTGAAGGACTGCAGCCTTCAATATGGATTGAAGCTCAACATCAAGAAAACAAAGATTCTCATCACTGAGCTAACCGGCATCAGTATGTATGGTGAAGAGATTGAGATTGTTAACAGTTTTAGTTTGCTTGGCTTCACAATCAACACTCCTGGTTCCAGCAGTCAGGAAATCAAGAGACGAACTGCACTGGGAAAATCGGCTGTCAGGGACCTCTCCAGAGTACTGAAGAGCAATGACATCAGGCGGGAGACTAAGGTGCACCTCATCCAGGCCATAGGCTTTGCAACTGCATGTTATGAGCTGGATAATGACTAAGGATGACAGAAAGAGAATTGATGTCTCTGAGCTGTGGTGCTGGAGAAGAGTGCTGAATATTCCATGGACTGCTAGGAGAAGAAACAGGTTTATCCTGGAGAGGGTGAAACTGGGCTGCTCCTTTGAGGCAAGGATTCTGAAGCTTTGTGTGACATACTTTGGGCATGCTACAAGGAGGGACCAGTCCTTGGAGAGGGACATCATGTTTGGGAGGGTGGAGGGAGAGTGCAAGAGAGGAAGACCCTCGATGAGATGGATTGATTTAGTGATTGGGGTAATGGGAGTAGGTGTGTCAGAAACAGTGAGGTTGGCACAGGATAGACCAGGGTTTAGGGCTCTTGTACACAGGTTCATTATGAGTCACAAGCAACTCGACTGCAAATAACAACAACAATGACTGCTAGTGGTAAAGAGTTGTGCTGCCAGCCCAAAGGCTTGTGATTCAAATCTACCAGCTGCCCTGTGGGGGAAAAATGGGCAATCTCTTCCCATAGGATACACAGATTCTGAAAATCCACTGGAGGAAAAGCTATGAGTTGGTCCCAATTCAAAAGCACATAACAACAAACCAAAGATTTAGCAAATTATGGCCTGTGGGCCAAATTAAGCCAAATAAACAAACAAACCTACAAAGTGAAAATAGCTTAAAAAATTGGTCTTTTGTTTTTTAAAAATGTTAAGACACCATCTAAGTTATAAATTTACTATCTGCCCTTTACAGAAAAAATATGCCTATCTCTATAGTCTACAACAACAGTATTTCTGTGTCTGTTTCAAAATAATTATAAATACTTAGAAATATCTTAAAAATCCCTTTGAAGTAAAAGGAGATTTAGTCTTCCTAATTAAGCCTCTTTTTTAAAAACTCAGAGCAGTTGTGCTATCTTCAACTGCCTCAGTCATCAGACTTTTCCTTTAGGAAAACTAGTGTTTCCTAAAATAAAATTCAGCCCCAGGGTGAGGAAAGAAACATATTCCCTGCCAGCACAAGTCAAGAACCTAACCTCTAAATGTTCTAATAAAATGTACATGAGCCAATGGAAAAACCAGTTTTAGATTAATTCTCTTACTGGCTAAAGATTCTGAGGAAAATCTGTCAGACTATTAAAACAGATCACAATTTAGCAAATCATTACCTAGACTAAGGCAAAGATCATTCCTCATATAAAAATCATCATTATGGCCACATCAAAGAGTATGATTACATCGTTATATAACTTAGTTATATCATTATAACTGCAAACCACCGAGACTCATGGCCCAAGCAGGAGGACACATACCTACCCATTACAGCCAATTTTATGCTCACCTTGCAACTTGATATTCATTATGAACAGACTATTTCACCGATGCACAAGACTACTGGATCAGCTTCTTTTTCTTACTATCATTGTAAATTTGAAATGTTGAGTAACGAGACAGCCGATCAATGAGAACTAAGCATATTCTCATAGGTGATTCAAATGAATATTCTACTTTTACACTCTAGAATCCAGAAAGAATGAAATACTTCATTTTGGACTAAGACCCTAAGAATTTATGAATTTAGAATGGGAACTAATAATTCAGCCTATAAATAACAGATATAGAATTTCCATATGCAACCAATAATTCTAAATTATGACAATTTCCAAATAAAACACTTCAGTCTAAATCTCAGCACCTACAGGCTCAAGCATGCTGGAGATCTTGAGGATGGCAGAGGACAGGGAAAAATTCTGATCTTTCATAACCACCTTGACAATGCATAACAGGAACAATTATGTGATACTTTTAAAAGTATGACATTTGGAAATTAAATACACCTTTGAAAATTTAAAGGCCAAGAACATAAAAAGAAGCTGATTTTAATAATCTTATAACTTATTTAATTTTCAAAGAATATAATTCAGCCTCTAAATGCCTGTTAGAGTGGAAACGCATTTACTCCCAAGGCTCAACGTTCAGCCCAATGATTTTTAAAGGAAAATCAAACTAAATGCCTTCCAGTTAGTAGTGATTCACAGCTGACTCTTGACTAGGTTTCCAAGGCTGTAAAACTGCACTGGAAGGAGACTGCTCATCCTTCTCCAGAGGAGCCACTACTGGACTCAAACCATCAGAGAAGTATGGCCTTTGGGTTAACAGCACAACATTCTACAGACGACACTATCACAGCTCCCTGGCCTAATGACAGGTTGAAAAAGTGAATAACACAAAAGTGACACAGACCTTGGGACAGTAAGTCATATTAGACCAAAAGTGCAGCATTTGCCCTGTGATGGACTTGAGCATGGCAGGGATTATGAAGATGGCACAGGACAGGGTAAGCTTTCAGTCTGTTGTTCACAGGGTCACTATGAGTAGTAGTTGACTCAAAAGCACTTATCAGCACCAAAACTTAGAAGTCAGGAAGGAATAAGAAAGGAGGATGATTTGAAACTACAATCACAGGAACAAAGAAAGAAGAGTGCTGTTGAATTTCAATCAATATCACAAAACAAAGCATGGATGAACTCCTGAATGGAATACCAATTTGGTTATAAACTTTCATTCAAATGACAGAATAAAAAAATACATGAAAGTAATGTCAACCACATCATAACTACTGTTTCCTTAACAGGTATTATAAAATGCTATCAATTTTAGGATACATTTTAGTTTTAGAAATTAAAATGTAAAAGATGTGAATTTTGCAGTTGATAACTTTTTTTAAAAAAGGTATTCACAATACGGCACAAATTTTTCATAAGAAAAGGATATTAAAACAAAAAAAGTTAACAAAGACCACTATTATACCAACTTGGGAAAAAGCCAAGACAAACATTCCCACTTACCTCGGAGCATAATTTACTACTCAATGAAACACAGAAGATACTTTACCTCAATGTCCTGGACACTGAATTCCTTCTGATCTGTAAAATTTGCAGCCCCCGCACTAAGTTCCATCAACATCTTGGCGATCTCAGGCTTTATGGCTGAGGTCAGCCGACTGGCTGCTTCCATGACATGCTCCTGCACATCTTTAAGCTGCATGGCTGCCTTGGAGTAGTGAGAGTTCCTGAATACAGTGCTGAAGAGGTCTGTGAGGAAAGAACTGGCACGGCAAAAGACATTGAGGGCGTCCAGGTATTTGGAGATGCCCTGCTGGATGTCAGCAATGGGAGTGGAGTGGGGCATGGTATGGTGGCAACTGCCTGCAGCAGTCAGACCACCCAAGGGAGTAGAGGCGGCTGTTGATGCCAGTGGAGTACTCAGTGCTCGACCCAGCTCAGGCATTGGGTACTGCTGGTGCTGCTGCACCTTCTGCTTGGACCCGCCAAGCAGGAAGCGCCGCTTATAGTCCATCTTACTGTCCTGGGCACTGCAGCAATACATGCGGGAAGAGGGGCTGTCTCAGAGTCTGTGGATGAGTCTAGGTTTTGATTCTTCTTTCAAAACTGTGGCTAGGTATAAAAATAGTGCAGTTCTGCAAACTTAAGTTTTGAAAAAGGCATTTTCCATGTAATCCAATGTGGATGTGAGGAGGACAACAGGTTTATATAATTTATATTTTCAGGATAGTCAGGACCTCTGACAAAAAATAAAAATGTATCCAAAATGCTCTGTAAGAACTCTTGAGCATTCCACTCTCTTAGTAAAAAGATGTTTGTGGAGGAAAAACGCTTGCCCAGAATTATTTTCAAGAATACTTTGATATGTCTATTTACAAAGGCAGAAAAATAACTTAAATTACAAAAATGTAATATTAGGTATTGTAATATAATGTATCTTCAATATTCCAGAAAAGTTAGAAGCCAAAAATCCACACGCTGATCAACAGCAATTTAAAAAGCAGTACAGAGTTACTTCACACGAAGCCCTTAAGAACGAAGACCAAACCTCTGCAGAACTTTGGTAGAGCCTGCCTGCCAAATCCATTTACCTGTAAAGCTTCTTCTCAATGCTAAAAATTTCCGAATTTTCTGTTTTCTAAAACCAACTTTTTTTTTTTAAAAAGTAATTTGTTATTTTAAGTCTTCTTTCTTTTTGCTTGCTGAGGTAGCAGTTTCCTTGTAACAGCAATAAGAAGAGGTGCTTCCAGACTGGGTTGGCTCCAATTGTAAAGTCTGAAGCAAAAACAAACTGATGTACTTGTAAGGCCTTTAAGTAATTTCCTGTTGGGAGGAGGGGAGAGGAATAAAGTTAGCAAGGCAACTAGACAATGAATGAGTAATTCCAGAATATTAACTCTTGAAATGCCATTAATTATGGGTTACAATTAAATAATAACTCATATAACCTTATAGAAGAGTACTGAAAAATGAAATGATAAATACTAACAAGAAAATTTCTTAAGTTGCAAAACAAAAATAGCCCAACACTCCACAACAGAAGCTAACACGTGACAAGGAAATGGAGCCTAGATCAAAGTCTATCATTCCCTTGCTTCTCTTTCATGGGGCTCACAAAGCAGCTAGAGGATCAGATGAATACTCAGATTGTGGTGTGGGTAAACGAGTACAGCAATCACAAAACTTTAAAGAGAATCTTAAAAAAAGGAGAGATGGGCAGAGTCAGAGAAATCTGGGTTTTTAATGAGGAAAAAGCAGTTGATTTAGATCCTTATTTTTATCATTACATATGTGGAGTTAGAACTTACTTCAAGCAGACCCTTTAGCAGGTTTTCAGAGGTAATAAAACACCTGGGAGGAGACTGCTCACTGAAAGACTAGCTGGTAGATTGGAACTGTGCGCTTTTGAATTGGCAGCACAACGTCTTACTACTAAGCAACCAGAGTATACTAGGTCTTTATTACCTATTATTTATTCTTGAAAGTAGTCTTGATTTTGGAAAGTGGAGAAGAAGTGAGTGAGATTCATCAGGTGAATGGACCACCACTAAAGCAAATGCCAACTTGACGTAGAAGAGCACAGGATCTTTACAGGCTACACGAAACAGAGTCTAGAGAGGCGAGTGAGTAGCAAGTGGTTTGCCGAGAGAATTCTTTTCATTGTTACCCCAAGTACCACCCTCTGGATGTTCAAAGGAGTAGTGTGGCAGAGACTGACAGCTCTCACACCTGGAAGTAACTTCTACAGAATCTTTGCCTTTGAGCAAGTTCAACTAGCAATGTCTGCAAGTCTATGGTCCTACTTTCAGACACCTGCAACAATAGGATAATGTGATTCCACTCACTAAGCTAAAATCAGGGATAACTTTTGCCTGAAATTTATTCTCCCAACATGAGAGTTCAAGTTTGTTGTTTTTTTTTTACTAAAAATTATATTAAAATTGAAATCTGTTGTTGTGTACCATCAAGTAGGAACTGACCCACAGCTGACCCTCCAGAGGGTTTTCATAGGCAATAAATCATATGGGAGGAGACAGCCTATCTTTCTTCTATGAAGCAGCTAGTGGATTAGAACTGTGTTCTTTGGTTGTTAGTATAACTCCTGACCACTAAGCCACCAGAACTCTCATACTGTAACTTAAACCTACACAGTAACTATGGTTTTATTTTGGCATAATTATTGATAACTGAATTTTCTTTCCATTGTTTTATAAATAAAAATAACTTCAATTTATACTTTGTCATTTCTCACACTCAATTACCCTACTTCTTGTGTAGCAAAAACAAAGTAAGTACAAGAACAAAAGAGAAAAAGTGCTATGGATACAAACTGCATCCCCTAAAATGTAGCCACTCTTCTTTAGGGGTCTAGTAAATGAAACTAAATTGGCTACCACTGGTGGTTCTGTGTTCATGAAAATCTTCACTTTGGAAAAAAAGTTGCTCTTTTCTCCCTGTCCACCTCCTCCCCCCCAATTCACTCTTCTCCTTGAAGAGTAAAAGATAAACTCTTCCATTGTTACGCAATTCCTCCCCCTAAGTCCACTCCACTGTGCAGCCTTCATTCTCCTGTCATGACAATAATACCCAATCATATATCCCTTTTAAACAGTTCTCTCCCTCATCTGTTAAAATGCAGTATATATACACATCATTCCTCCCCTCCTTCTCTGTCTTCCCTGAACCTCGATGTCAGCGTCGTTTTACAACAATGGCCCTATGCAATATCTGTCCTTTTGTGACTCTGCATAACTTCCTCCAGGGTCATCCATTTTGCATAATATTTCAGGAATTCCTTGTTTTTCAATGCAGCATAGTATTCCATTGTGTGAATATACCAGAGCTTCTCTGTCCATTCGTTTGTTGATGGGCACTTGGATTGTTTCCAGCTCTTTGCTACTGCAAACAAAGGCGCAATAAACATGGATGGGCATAAAAATGCTTACACTTTTTAGAAAACATATCAAATTGCTCCTAGTCAAAAGTTCCCAAATGTTCCTTTTTCAGATCAGTAAGGCAATTATATCTAGCTTACCTAAATACTCCATTAAAATCACTGTGGTTTAACAAATTTTAATGTACAAAAGAAGTGCTCAACAGGAGTGCTGGAGAAGAACAGGTTATTCAAGTGGAAACTGGATGGTCTGTGCAGGATCTAGTGAATGTCCAAGCAGGGAGCAGTCTCAGGAATCACTCTCCAGTCAAGGCTGTACCAGTTCTCAACTTCTTAAACAACCTTAGCCCTGCTGTTTTGAGCTCTAAGAGACCTTTCTCCAATTCCTCTAAAAAACTTCAAATTTGCTGCCATTCAGTCAGAACCAATTTATAACTGACCCTCCAGTAGGTTTTCAGAGACTATAAATTACACAGGAGGAGATTTCCCATCTCTCATAGAGTCAATGGTGGAATTTGAACTTCCAGAGAAGCACTGCCTTTGGATTAGAAGACCATCTGTTTTTAACATGTATGAATAAAATTTTTTTCTTCTTTCTTGACTGCCAGCAAAGAATGGTTATGAGCCTGATGCTCCAGGGCCATCCATTTTTCAGGGCTAGCTGATTTGGCAGGTGAGCTGTTATACATGTATGAATAAACTTTAAAATGAAGCTTGCCATGTTCATTGCAATGGTACTGGTTAGATGCCACTGAATGACCTCATTCACAACAGAGTAACACAGACTCATCAATGAACCAACCCACTGTTGCAGCCACTGTCAATCCATCTCACTGAAGGAATTCTTTTAACATTTTAAAGAGCTCTTTTGTAGCAGATGTATTGAAATTCATCACCTGGGTTGATTTATTGCCTGCTGCACCCATGGACATTAACGGCAGGTTCAAGTAAAATGAAATTCTTGACAACTTCAATCTTTTCTCCACTTACCATGTTACTGCTCATTGATCCAGGTATAAGAATTTTTGTTTTATGTTAAGGTATAATCTATATTCAAGGCTATAGTTTCTGAGCTTCATCTGAAGTGTTTCAAGTCCTGTTCAAATTCAGCAAGTAAGGCTATATTTCCCAAGTATCATTAGGTTGTTAATGAGTCTTCCTTCAATCCTTATGCCACATTTTTGTGTAGTTCAGCTTTGATTAATAGCTCAACATACAACTGAGTAAGAATGATAAAAGGATACAACCCTGACATACACCATTTTGGATCTTAAACCATGCAGTATCATCCTTGTAAAACTACACACTTAAAACTGGTTTAACAGTTCCTAAAGCTGTTAAACATACCATTTCACCACTGACAGGTATTTGTCCAATAGAACTGAAAATACAAACTTAGTATTAATACTATGTACACAACTGTTCACAACACTGTTATTATAAAAAAGTAGCAGTCCAAATGCCTATTAACTGATAAATGAATAAAATATGGTATGAATAAAATATACAACATGCTATTGTTGTTGTTATGCTCCATCAAGTCACTTGTGACTCACAGCAACCTGTGTACAACAGCTCCAAACCCTATTCTATCCTGAGCCAACCTTGTTGACTCTGGCAATACCTTTAAAAAGGTGTCTGAAGGAACTGCCAAAAACAAGGCCCCAGGAATTGATGGCATACCAATTGACATATTTCAAAAAACAGATGCTGTCCCGGCTGAATTCACCAAGTTATGCCAAGAAATCTAGAGGACAACCACCTGACAAACTGACTGGAAGAGATCAATATTTGTTCCTATTCCAAAGAAAGGTGTTCCGACAGAGTCTGGAAATTCTTGAACAATATCATTAATATCACATGCAAGCAAAATTCTGCTGAAAATTACCCAAACATGACTGGACTGCCAGAAGAAGTGCAGGCTGGGTTTAAAAGAGGCCATGGTACTTGGGATATTACAGCTAATGTTAGATGGTCTTGGCTGAAAGCAGAGTAGCAAAGGAAGGTCTATTTGTGTTTCACTGACTATGAAAAAGCACTTGACTATGATCAGAGGCTGTCATCAGAACAGAGGAAGGAAATACTGCATAGTTTAATATTGGGAAGGGTGTACACCAGGGATGTATCCTATATCCATAGTTTTTCAATCCATATGCAGAACA